ATAGTTATTCAAGGTTGAAATTAGACATAATAAATGTAACGTTTAAATAACACAGGAATTTTTTTTTAACTTTTAATTTTATAACTTTTTTTTGAGTGGACATATTGAAATGAGCGATAATTTTTTTTAAGAAACATAATTTATATAAAATTTTTAAAAAAGATTATACAGGGCGGTCCAGTTTGTGATACATTAATTTTAAGGTAGACTTTCATTAATTAACATTTCTCAAAAATGTTTCCTAAGAAAAATACAGGCCGTCAAAGATTACAAAAAAACTAGTTTTCTCTTTATAACTTTTAAACCACAACATTAATTTTCATCAGATTTGGCACAAAATGTAATATAGTCAGTGCCTTAATAATAAAAGGGGAGAAGTACCCCCTTTCACCTCAGTCTTTGACGCCACTAAAAATTTTAAAAATTTAAATAAATTTGTAGGTCAAGTTTTTAATTTAGAGAAAAAATTTACTCTTGTAAAATTTTGATTTGGGTCTTTGTTTCTGAAATATTTGCTTAAAAATGTTTCCTCGCAGAGACGCTTTCCGTCAAACTTTACAAAAAAAACTCGTTTCCCCATCATAACTTCTAAACCACTTAATCAATTTTTATCAAATTTTGTACACAATATAGTCAATGTCTTAGACTCTTAGTAATGATGTGGATAATTATTTAAAGAAAACATCAGTGGCGCATGCGCAGTTACTTGGGGGGCTGCTCCGCTTTTCACCTTAGGCGCCACTGGAATTTTTTTTAATAATAAACACATTTTTAGATTATCTGTTTAAATTAGAGAAAAAAACTACTCATGTAAAATTTTAATTTAGTGCTTCATTTTTTAAATAATTAATTTATTTATTCAAGAATACTTTTGCCGCAGTTTTTTTGGAGTGTGTTCCCAAATATTTCAAAAACGAAGCCCTAAATTAAAATTTTAGCACAGTAGTTTTTTTTATCTTTAAATTGAACAGACAATCTAAAAATGTAATTTTGCGAGGAAACATTTTTGAGCAAATATTTTAGAAACGAAGCCCCAAATCAAAATTTTACAAGAGCAAATTTTTTCCCTTAATTAAAAACTTGACCTAAACATTTATTTATTATTTTAAAATTTCCAGTGGCGTCAAAGACTGAGGTGAAAAGGGGAGCAGCCCCCCAAGTAACTGCGGCACTGATGTTTTTTATAATAATTATCTACATCATTATTAAGGCACTGACTATATTACATTGTGTGCCAAATTAATTTTGTGGTTTAAAAGTTATGAAGAGAAAACTATATATTTTTTTGGAAACCTTGACAGCCTGTATTTCTCTTAGGAAAAATTTTTAAGAAATGTTTTTTTATGAAAGTCTACCTTATTTTTGATGCTTTATCACCTATTAAAATTAATGTATTACAAACTGGACCATCCTGTACAATAATGAGTCACTCATTATGAGTGATAAGGTTTATTATTATCATTATGAGTGATAAGGTTTATTATTATGCCACCAATCGAAAAAAAACGTTAAATTTATTATTTGTCTAATTTCAACCTTGAATAACTATAAAAGAAGTGAATTTATAAAAAATATATAAGAAACATTTTTTGTAGAGCGTTCAATTTTCTTTAAAAATATGTGTCGCTTATTCCAATATGTTCACTCAAAAACGAGTTATAAAATTTCAAAGTTAAGAAAAAAGAATTCCTGTGTTATTTAAACGTAAAATAGAAATTCACGGTGAGCGACCTCTAAATATTAATATTAAGAGCTACAATTTTCACAGGCTTCTTTTTTCACTACTAGGAAGATATTTCAATGCGGGCTTTGAAGAAAAAAATATATTCGATTTTTTTGAACCAGTCTAATATATATATATATATAGTTAATTTACATGGATTAATACTCATTTAATCCATTTTATTAATATTTTTATGTAAACATCCACGGATATGCATATTTAGTACATTTTATTTCATCTATAGATATATCATTAAAAATAATTCATTCAAAATGAATTTATTGCAATCTGAAACAATTATTGTTTGGTGGGTTGGATCCTTTCTGCATAAATGGGTCCGTATATATTAATTATAAATAACAATAAATGTCATCGCACCTGCCACGCACAAATTTTAAAACATGTGACTTTACTGTGAATGTGTATACGAACGCACGTGTGCGATATGCGAAAATGGTCTCATCGCGTGCGCCTAAAACTCACGCGTTACTTAATTTTGAATGCGTAATAGCGCGCACGCGTGAGACCGCACGTCATGCGTTTTTCGTGCGACGCACTATTGCTATCTGGGATTAAAAGATTTCAGAATCTTATAAAAATGTTACGGCGTGTTAAGGTAGTCTTGAAGGTAATATACGGTATATTATATACCCATTTGAAGTTTCCATAGAATGTCTTCAAAATTTAATATATGATTTTGTGAGGCATCAGACATATTCACAAATAATTTCAGTTTTACAATACTGATTCAAAGAAAATAATTTTTAAAGTTACATTTGTTTTCATACTCGCTCATGAGATTTCCATGACAAATAAACTATAATAATCAATTTTTAAGCTATTAACATGATCCTATTTTGTTTCTCAGGTTTGGAAAGGAATTTTTGAAATATTCCATGGGAAATTTGTGGTAAAAACACTTCTGAACAACAACAACCAAAGGGGGTGTTGATGGCTTTTGAAATTAATTATTACAGTATATTTTTTATGGAAATCTCAAAAAACATTTTTTAGCACTTTAAAATTGTCATTTGTAAATCCATGGAAAATCTGTGGTAAAAACACTTCTGAACAACAACAATCAAAGGGGATGTTGATGGCTTTTGAAATTAATTATTACAGTATATTTTTTATGAAAATCTCAAAAAACATTTTTTAGCACTTTAAAATTGTCATTTGTAAATTCCGTGCTGCCTACTTAAGAAATACAAAATATGATAGGTTTAAACCTGCCATTGTAACAACAAATTAACAATTTATATTGTTACGTATTTACTTTTTATGTTGTTTTTAGTTTTCAATGATAATTTAATTTAGAATAAAGTATTAATTTGTTAATTAAAATAAAACGTTTTTTTATTACATTAGCACAGCTGAAGTTGCTGCCACGGCCTACTGATATTTATTTATCAAACTCTTTAAATATAGAAACTACCCTTGGAGCCCACCCACGGAGCCCGAACTTAATAGGGGAAATTGACAAAACCTGCCCTCTAAATCGCACAAGTCATTTTTTTTACCACCAGCGGTGGATTGTTGATGCGTACTCAGGTCTGCTGTTTTGGTAGCGTTTCGGTACAAATCAAAAAATCAACGGAACACCAGCGCCCTCTTATCTTTTGGAAGATTTTTGTATACATGAAGTTCGGACTCCTTGTGGACTAGGACATAGGACTAGGGTGGAGTGAAATACATTATGGTAACCATAGACAAAATAGACTTGCCCTGTTCAGTATCGCTTACATGAAACCAGCGTGCCAAAAATCGGGGAAGCGGAGCAAGGGAATGTATAAGAGAAGATGTATTCTGCCCGTATTAAATAATTTCGTACGAGCGGTATCTTTTCAAAAAATATTAAATTTATTTTGTTTAACATTTAAATATTTGTAAGTACATATATAGTTTAAATAAAACACTAGATATAAATAAAACCTGCTAATCTGCTATAATTTTTTTTAATTGATCTTTTTTTAGGGTAAAAAAATTCGTTAGATTTTAAACACGAAAAAACCTAATATTAATTAAATAATTTATGTATTTAAACAATTTTTAATGTAATCCTTCATAAAAAAATAAAAATAATAGATGAAACGATAAGACATTATAAATTTGCTAATAAGCCCCTAAAATGAAAAAAAAATTAAAATTCTGTCAGTTTTAAAATAAAAAACTGAACAAAACAGGCCAATTTCGCTAAAAAGTCAGAAAAAATAAATCCAAATGAAATAAATTTCTACTAAACGCGAAAAAAGTATTACTTTTAATATTATATTTAATTTAAAATTTTCCTAGTGGATTAGCAAAGAAATTCATTTAGTTTTACACTCCAGAATGAACAACGTTCTGGTACGGCTCTGTGCAAAGGAGAGAACAACACAAGATCTGTGTGCGCACGCAAGGTATTGACATGCAAAATTAATAAAATCGCTTAAAATTTATCTCGTAATTACTACTTACTGGAAAAAGGAAATTGGTTGGAATTGGCTGGAACTAGTTTCACTACGACTAGGACACACTTTAACAACACATTTACCCATAATGTACAAAGAATTTTACATAAATAATATATCCTCACATGTCAACTGCTCAAATATGAATGATGCGAACTGGAAAACAGGCACCCGTTCAGGCACCCGCCCGGCCGTATCATTTTCTCCTTAAGGCAAGTCTATTTCGTCTGTGATGGTAACCATTTAATATGCCTATATTAGCTAAGCAAAATACATGATGGTAAAAATTTAATACGCCCATATTCGGAAAATTGGTAAACTGTTATCACAATTAACAAAAAAATAAATAATTTTGACCGAACAATGTTTGGAGGGTCCGCCACCTCTTTATAAAGTGCATATTTTTTCTCCTGAACTTTAAAAAGGTAGCGGATAAATTTAAATTTTTTTTCGTTAGTTGTGGTAATAGGACACCACTTCCTCCAACACAGGCATATTAAATTTTTACCATCAAGTGTTTTACTCAGCCAATATAGGCATATTAAATGGTCATGTATTTCACTTCACCCAATTACGAAGGCTCCATGATACTACCTTAAAATTCATTTTAAGTCGAAAACGTGTTTGCGCCCGAGCGTGCGAGGGCTGGCAATAGAGTTCGACACTGGTTAAAACTTACCTCATGCGTGGTGTGTAACGTTTTATCTGCTCCCACAGCTAGGTTTCATATAATAAAACTACTTTTACACACTCTGTTTAATCTTAGTCTAGGATTTCTGACAAATATTATGGTTTTTATGAAAGTTTATTCTTGTGTTTTTTTTCAGGGTTAATCATACTTAGGTACGAAAAAACCTGCCAATCCACCGTCTTGGCAGTCCTAGACGCTCTATCATGGATCGACAGCAATGCCTCTCTCAAAGCGACTCTACTAACTGGTCCCATGGTGCGTCAACTTGTCAGCGACAACTCTCTCAACGGGCCAATGGCGGCACACATAATGCGCGCCGTGTTGAACGCCTTGATGCTGCACGGACAGCACGAGGCCAACCAGGGCTCTCTTTTGACGTTGGGCGCTCAGGTTTACGAACTTTTGAGACCGTCGTTCTTGGAAGTTTTAGCAGTAATGCAGTTGATACCCGGTGTTAATCCGGTAGATTTGCATAAGTTGGATGAAAGGATTTCCGGCAGTACCAGTAAGGGTAACAAAGTTGAGAAAGTCAAGAAGGATTTGTTTAAAAAGTTGACTGGAAACGTGAGTATTTATTACTAGGTTCCATTTATTTTTTAAGACGTTTTTGTTTTAAAAATTATGAGTGCATTTTTTAAAGGAAACACTTTTTTTAAATTGTCAATTGCATGTTGTAGGCTTTTTAAATATTTTTGATATTTTAACTTTATTTTGCTGATTTAATGTCTGCAGTTTATCACCATCATTACAGTTTTACCATAAAATACTTTTATACATATTTTAAAATCTTAAAAATACATTTAATAATGTTGAAAACATAGAAGTGTCAAATCTTATTGCATGTTGTAGGCATTAAAATATTTTTGATATTTAAACTTTTAAATATTTTTGATATTTTAACTTTATTTTGCTGATTTAATGTCTGCAGTTTATCATCATTATTACAGTTTTAACATAAAATACTTTTATAATGTTGAAACCATAAAAGTGTCAAATCTTATTTTAAAATTTAAGTATTTAAAACGATTAAATTTAATAGTTTTTAACAAGTTTGGTTAACGGCATGTTAGCTACAAGTTTTAATTATGGACGAGCGTAGCTTGCGTGGTGTCTAGAGAAGTTTATAAAACAAATTGCATACCTACTGTACTTTTTCTACTCAAATTAAATAATTTTCAAAAATTAATAATAAATAAAATCTCCCATCTGTCAGACTGTTTTAACCTACATGCACAGATTATAAAAGAACATTCAACCTTTAAATTTAGCATTAAAAACGCCCAGGCAATTTTAATGCATTCTGTATCATTGATCAGGTGCAATACCTATACGAAATTTTTAAATGCAAACATACGGTTGTTTTTGGTAATAATTCGGTATATTCATACAGGTTTATGGAATATAAATTATAATATCCATAATCTGCACTATCCTACACTATATCATTTTAAATCCAAAACTGAAAAATAAGCCTGATAGCCTGATATCTGAAAATGTTTCATTTAGATTCGGTTTTCACTATCATAAAGAGCAACTGTTTGAGCTCAAATTCAACATATAATATTTTTAAATTGATTTGATTTTGTATACATATTTTTGTTTCCTTTAATCACAAATTTTTTTTAAGAAAAAAATCTCATTCCCTTTTTTTTAATAATAATAATAAATGTTCTTTATTGAAGCATTAAAGGGTCATTGACTTATGTCCTTCAGCCATAATATAACAGGTTTATAGTATATTAATTAATTTTTTTTTAGTTATTTTAAAAATATGCATCATTTTCTGACAACAAAAATTATAATAATAATTTTAATACTAGTCATCGTTAAATAGTAGTTCCAAAGTTGTTTTTTGCGGATATCCGTTTCTTGCATTTTCTGCTCTTGGCATACACAATTCCCAAAGAATTTCCCTCTATATCTGGCAGCTAGGTTTTGGATTCGGTTCATTATTGGTGTTCCTGTTTTTTGATAAAGAATAGGAATGTTTGGATAACGGATTTTGGTATTTTTTAGGGAGGATGTTTGTGCAACTTGAATGTTATTAAATTTTAAAATGGAAGTTTTGCATTTGAGGAATAATGTTATATTTTGATAAGGTTGTTAACCCTTAATTCGAAAAAGTGTTTTGCCCTCACTATTGCTCTTGTTTTTGTTATTTGTTTGTGAAGTTTAAGGTTTATTACCAAGTATACCAAGGTAATTGGTAGAGCTTTCAGGGTTGGGAATAGTATATGCCCTTGCAAAGAAATGGTGGGGGACTAGTTGGTAATACGGTGGTGGAAGATTAAGAGATAAGATTTATTGGAATTAGGTGACAATCTCCATTTAGAGAACCATTTCAGATGTTGCGTTTACCAGGTTTTAGAGTCGTAACTTGGGAAAGGGTTTTTTATGCTAGATTATGACTGTGTCATCGGCAAATTGTAAAGCCGGGTCTACAATTGTCGCAGGGGTCCGATCGCAGAACATAAGCTTGCGCAAAGCACCCCGCGACGTGGCGATGAAACAAGGTTCTTTTGTCAGCTGGATGCTTTGCGCAAGCTTATGTTCTGCGATCTGCGACCTGCGACAATTGTAGACCCGGCTTAATGCATATGATGCGAAACTAAAGTGATTTTCATTTGAAAATTGATGGCTATATATGTTGTGATAAAATAATTCAGTCCATGTGGGAAAGCAAGAAGTCCGAACTTCATGTATACAAAAATCTTCCTAAGATAAGATGGCGCAGGTGTTCTGTTTATTGTTTGATTTGTACCGAAACGCTACAAAAACAGCAGACGTCAATAAGCATTGACAATCAGCGCCGCTGGTGGTGGAAAAAAGACCTAATTTGTGCGATTTAAAGGGCAGGTTTTCTCAATTTTCGGGCTCCATGTGGTAAAGTTTGAAGAAATAAACTTTTTCTACTCCTATTTCGGAATATGACCGTTCTAATATCACTTTTATCTATGGAATTACATATATTCCGTAAAGTGTTACAGAATGAAATATTCTATCATCGGATGACAGAATAAATACTTGTGGCGACATCTCTGTTTTTAATATCTTAACAAATTTTAGATCGATCCAACCCCACTTTCTTCCAATTAAATTATTTTTCCATGGTATTTTTTGGAATCGTAGAAAAAGTATAGTCTAAAACACGTTTGGAATTGCATATTCCCCTCTTGTGAAACCGTCAAACTCGCCTTCGGCTCGTCTGACAAACTTTTCACTCGAGCGGAATATGCCGTATTCCAAACTTGTTACAGAATATACTACTCGTATTATCCAAATTGAATCAAAAACGTTGCTTATGTCAAGGAACAGTGCTGCCGATTTTTGTCCATTAAGTTTTGTTGTTTCAATGTTCTTTAGAATGGTCAGTGCATTAATGGTTGAACAGCCCTCCTTAAAGCGGAATTAATGATTGATGATCTTTGTAATTACAAGCCTGAAATTTATTAATTGGAAAAACCTTTCAAAACCAAAAATCGTTATAACTTTGTTATTCCTGGGAATTTTAAAACACGGTAAGTAAGTGTGTTCTTTAGTTCAAAAGATGGTGTTGGTAACTGTATGTTTAAATGTATACATTTAAACATACAGTTACCAACACCATCTTTTGAACTAAAGAACATTTCTTGTCGGACGATTTTATTGAAAAATAGACAAACTGATACATGAAAATTTAGCTTAAAACTCAAAGTACTATGGAGAAAGACAGTGACACTTTAACTTACAGGCGCTATAGCTTACTCCCTTATTCTTTGTACCATAGGGCAGTATAGGATTATTAGATATATACATAAAATACATCCGCTACCTTATTTGTGTTTTCTAACAACTAAGTAATTAGTTGTTAGTTCTTGAAGTGTGGGCCTAATCCCACTAAACACATCATTGCCGAGTTTCCTGTTTAATCATAATTTTTTTTTCTTTTTTTTAGTTGATTGGTAGAAGCGTGGGCCAGTTGTTCAAGAAAGAGGTGAAAATTCAGGACTTACCGCGCCTTGCGGTACCCCAGAAACCGTCTTTGAACCGACCAGAAGTAATAAGTGACCTAAGAAATATTTTTAGTTAGCTAAAAATGGTGACGATTCCTCTATATTTTTTTATTTAATTTAAAAATAATATTCATGTTCAACATTCCTCGCCCCGTTTGTTGTTCATATAACTCAACACAGTCTGACTTGTTAATCTTTTATATTAATTTTTGTGAAATAAATTAATTGATTATTTTGTATATAATATTTGTTAGTTTTATTTTGTATTTAATTTTTTTGCCATTTATTTATTAAAAAATGTAATCAGAGCACGTCTTTTATTCGACCTTCATCCGTTCATTCATAAAAATTCCATAAAACCAGTTAGGAAAGATATGACAATGGCAACGCCGCAGTTGATCCGGCAACACGTTATTATTGTTTATGTCAAAATTCACCAAATTCATGTGATGTTTTTATTCGTCGGATGTGTAAATTTAAGCAAAATGCGACTACTTTCTGCAGTGGATTTGACAAAATACTGTTTAAATAAGAAGATTAACCTGAAAAGGTAAATAAATTTCATTAATAACGCGTATTAACTTCATGCAAAGTCATTGTGTAAATTCTGTAAAAATTCTTTTTTTAACTAATAAATTACGCAAATAAGTTTCTGATCGGATAAGTTTTGATTCGCACGTAAAAATATTGATGACGAAAACAGATTTTTTGCGATATACAAAATGCGTAATACTTTCACTTAACCTTATTTCCAGATAAGAAAACACCTTGTGTGTACATAACAACAAACACAAAGAGTTCATTTAAAATAATGGGCGAAGATTCGGCGTTCATGAAATCCCTAGACCCGAGAATCAACCAAAGAATAATGATAAACACAACTGATCTGCACTCAGTCGATCTGAGTTGTAGTACAAACAATGACACTACCAGCACATTACTTATTGACGACAATGAGGAATTATTCTGCACCAAAGAACAACAATTTCTTAAAGAGTTAAAGTTACAGGTGGAGACAAAAGTTAAAGTTGTGTCAATATTTGGAAATACAGGCGAGGGCAAGTCGTACACGTTGAATAAGGCTTTTTTTAATGGGGAAAATGTTTTTAAGACTTCAAGTGCTCAAACTTCGTGTACTATTGGTGTTTGGGCCAAATATGATCCTAAATTAAATGTGTTATGCCTGGATACTGAGGGTAGGTTTTAAGATAAGAATGTTATTACATTTTTTACAGTTTTCTTTATTTGACCCTTTTGGTATGGGTTCCAGCCAGAGCTGGGCACAAGTACTAAAAAAAGTATTCGTAAAATTTTAAGTATGATTACTTAAAATATTTACTTATAAGACTTTACTTGTAAGTACATTTGTAAAGATAGGTTATGGTTACGAGTAGTAATTGTAAAAACACAAGTAAAAAATACGAGTACTTTTGAAAAAAAAATGTTAATATAATTGATAAGTCTTTATACATTATACATACTTTGGTCCTGAGCTATATAAAAATACAAATTTATAAAATTATTTATTTTAAACATTAGGTACAGGATCGCCTATAATGTTGCCCCGCTTTAACTTTTATATTTAAAGTGTTCCAAAAAATTTAATTGTGGTTATCTATGTACTAAAAAATACTTTTTCTACCTATAATAAAATTGGAAAATGGATCAGTATACAGGGAAAGACAAAAAGTTTATTTTTTCTCAATGGATCACCCTATATACATATATATATGAATTTATTTTTCGATTCCTTGTAAAATTCTAAGCATAACTCATATAACACATCATATACCTAAATTCAACTGTTTCCGAAATATTTAAATTATTTTTAAGATAATAAGTTAAAATAGTTTGTCTTTCTCTTTCTGAGTACGCCATTTTTACTTACTTAACAAGGCCTATTGACATAATGTCACTATAGTTTTTTATTTTTAATAAACATTTTGTTTTACTAAGGCTTCTTGATTTGTTTAAAAAAGTTTTAAATGCGAATATTTTAGAAACGGTTGAATTTAGGTATATGGTTTGTTATATAAAATATACTTAAAATTTTACAAGGAATCGAAAAATAAATTCATATATAGGGTGATCCATTGAGAACAAATAAACTTTTTGTTTTTCCCTATATACTGATAAATTCTCCATTTTTTTGGGACACTTAAAATAAAAAAGTTAAAGGGGGGGCGACATTATAGGGGATCACCCTGTACACAGTGGCGTAGCGACAGTACCGCGAACGCCCGCCACCGCGGGGGGCCCTAACCTCGTGGGGGCCCGGCCGATACTTGCCCCAAAACATTAAAAAACTTATTTCCATCGTATTATTTTCGACGCTTAAAAACTTAAAAATTAAATACTGTAAGATTGCTTAGATTGCTAGTTTAAGTTATCTTTTTATGTTATAAAATTATGGTAATATTTGTTCTTACTACATCGACTGAAAATACGTTGTTTCGTCCCCGATTCTACGGCAGAAAGTTTACGTTTGATGCATTGGTCAAGCTAGACGCGCACCCTCTATAATAGCGGGAGTAAAAATTTTTAGTCGTGTGCACTAGTACTCAACATATGCAACTCTGATTACGACACTAATATAACCTCAAAATTTGTTTTCAATTAGTTAATTAACTAATATTAATTAATTAATATTGTTAATATTGAATATTATTTAAGACTAATAGTGAATAGTGAATTTTCAGTCGAGGTAGTAAGAAAAATAGTATACACTACACGGGCAGAAAGTGTGAGATTCCTGCACTGCGCGCCATGATGCCCATGGCGCGCAGTGCAGGAATCTCACACTTTCTGCCCTTGTAGTGTAATATACTATTTCATTATTTTATTGTAGTAGTACGGCAAAATTTAAATTTTTTTCTCAAAAAATTCTACAAATTTTGAAAATAGACTTAAAAAAATGATACCCGTGTCTCGGCGTTTTTTCAGATCACGGCGTCAATAACAGCTATAGCATTTATAAATGTATAGTTTTTTAAAAATTTCATTTAAATTATTTTAATTTTATACAGGGTGTTGCACATTTACGAAATATATCAAGTGGTGTTTATTAGGTTATACCACTAGAAATTTTGAATCAATGTATAATCGTCAAACTAAAAGATTTTTTTCCACCATATATTGAATATAAGATAAATACAAATCTGTTGTTTTATTTAAAAAAAATTAAAAATTAAAAATAGAATTTTTTTTATAACAAAAAAATATTTTTTTTAAGTATAATTTTTGTTTTATTTAAAATATTAAGAATGGCTGTATAAAAAAATTTAATGACGTGATTTCGTAAATCGGTAAGGCACGGATTTTTTTTTTTAACCTATATTTTCAAAATCTGTTGGGAGGGAAATCGTGGAGAACCTTATTTTAAAAAAAACCTATTCTTTCGCTTTTTGTAAAAAAGTTGTTATTGTTATTTTACGTTTATAAATATTTTTTTTAATAAATAAAAATAATAAAAATATCATGTCACCTGATGTTTTATTTTTTATTTTCAATATAAAAACATCTAAAAAATATGTGAAATCAGGGGGCCCAGTAAAGATTTTCGCGGGGGGGGGGGGCAAAATTTGTCGCTACCCCAGTGCCTGTACATAAAATAATAAATAAAAATAACAATTCTTAAAAGTTTTAAATTTTACCTATTTAGGTACTTCTTATAAAACCTATAGGTTATAATATATTATATTATACTATATATTATATAATTTAAAACAGACTTTCAAACAAAATGTTTTGATATTTTGGCAAAAAGTCATCGATATAATAAACGGAAATACTTGTATATCTTTCTCGTGAATTCCACGAGTATTTTTTACGAGTACATTGAATTTCAAATACTCGTAATTGAAATACTAGTAAAAGTGCACAGTACTTGGCCAGCTCTGGTTCCAGCTATAACTGACAGAAAGCAATATGGCTTTTTGGCCTGGTGAAGGATATATCCATTCAAGGTTATTTTTTTTATTATACTTGTGCCTTCTATTTCCATTTATTATGTATGCTCCCTTGCTTCAAAATCCATACAGAGGCTACTTTCTAATGTTTCATGTTTTAATGTTTTCTGCAATATTATGCCCACTAAAATAAATGTTTTAAATGTTGCATTATTTTATAAAATGTAATATGTTTTCATGTGAGGGATATTTCCGACAGCAGGCCAAAGACAGGCTGTGGGGAAATAAGTATTTAGAGACAGGCCTACTGAAAGGGTTAAGCTAGTTATGTTATATTATAATAATAATAATAATATGTAATTAAAATCTTTATTAATACAATTGTATATCAACATACCTACATACAGAATTATCTAAATGTTTTTTTTTTATTTGGAATTTGGAAGAATAATAATTATTATTTGTTAAATAAATAAAATACTTTTTTTTTTGTGGGAATTTTGGAAATTTTCATTTTTTAATGGTTTATTAATTATAGAACTATAGTGCCCATAACTTCTTTGTTGATGAAATATTTTACTTTGTAGTTAGTACTACCAAGTCTTGGTAAACATATTTATTGGAAACCCCAAAAGGCTTCTGAGGTCTTTCTGCCTATATAAATATAATTTTATTTTACAAATTATCTGTTATAATGATAAACTATACAGGTTATATCAGTCGATGGTAGGTTAGACGTTTATGGAGAACGCAAAAGATATCGAATTAAAATTTTTATTTCAATTATAATATCAATTAAATTATTTTTCTAAATTATTTTGAACAAAATTTCTCTTCCGGTTTTAACGGAAGCGATATCAACTTTGTTATTTTAAATGGATCATCACAATTTTTTTTTACATTTTTAGATTCTTAGTATCATTCCTTAAAAAATGGATATACCATGTCCTATACCTAAACTTAATAGTTTTTGAAACTTTTATAGCAATTATAATATCATTTAAACTAATTTTCTAAATTATTTTGAATCAAATTCCTCTTCCCTTTTTAACGGAAGTGATATCAACTTTATTATTTTAAATAGATCACCACATTTTTTTTACATTTTTAACTTCTTACCATAATTCCTTATAAAATGGCTATATCATGTCCTATACCTAAACTTAATAGTTTTTGAGTTATTAATTTTTTTTTGTAAAATTTGGCCAGTTTCACCCCCCAACAAAAAAAGTTTATAACTTTTTTAATATTAGGTTTGCTGATATTAATTGGAATTTATTGGAATCCTGAAGCATTGTTTTAAAGATTCCATGTAATTTATTTTAATATTTTTGTTGTCATGTCATATGCTAACAAAAGCGTATACCCGCTGATCATAAATATATTTCCTGAATTAATGCGAGCACGTTAAAGGCTCTATTGAAAAATTGCTTTTTTTGACTTATCCCCTTATGCCTTTTACCCACAGAAGTATTTTCATATTTAATTATGTAAAAATACACTGGGCTTTCCATTGAGAAAGTTATTGCGGTTTTAAGTTAGCTACATTTACATTATTTTTATTTCAAGTATCTTATTAGAAATATTAAAATAAATAACATGGAATATATAAAACAATGATTTCAATAAATCAAGTTATAAGCTTTTTTTGTTGAGGGTGAAACTGACCAAATTTTACAAAAAAAAATAATAACTTAAAAACTATTAAATTTAGGTATAGGACATGATATAGCCATTTTATAAGGAATGATGGTAAGAATTTAAAAATCTAAAAATGTTATTTAAAATAACAAAGTTAATATCGCTTCCGTTAAAACCGGAAGAGGAATTTTATTCAAAATAATTTAGAAAATTAGTTTAAATGATATTATAATTGCTATAAAAGTTTCAATTCGATATCTTTTGCCGTTCTCCATAAACTTCTAACTCTCGGTCTAACCTACCATCGACCGTGATACACCCTGTAGTTTGAGATACGTCATTTTACTCGCGAATTTAATTTAGGGACGAGCGAGCTTTCTCTTTTCTCTTTCTTTCTACCCCTATTTTATTGTCCAAATAAATAAAAATAAAGAGTTTGTTTTTTAAATCTTCCAGATAGCGTTAATAAAGGGCATTTTTAAGCAAAATTCAGTCAAAATAATAACAAAAACAAATTTTTAGGTATTTGTGGTAATTTAGATATAAAAAATGGTGAGTTTGAATTTGAATTATTATTTTTTTGTTTTAAAAATTATCATTTTAATTTTTTATGTTTTCAAAACAAATTATAAAAGTTTCAACTTGTTCTATAGTGAAATATTTCTAAAACTTCACAAAACAGTACATATTAAATTATGTAGGTACCTATATAAAAAACTGTTTTGGTGACTGGCATCTGAAAAAATGTTTACAGGATGTCCCGGAAAATGTAACACTAAATTCCTTAATACGATTCTTTTTCATATGAAGTTATGCTCTAGTGTTGAAAATTTAATTTTTCTTAAATAACGGCAATATAAAATTGCATTTCACAACCCCATTGAAAATTAATAACTATTAATGACTTTAAAAATAAAAAGTTTAAATTTATTAACAATAACAAAATTTTGATAATTTATGACATAAACGACATAAACAACTTAACCATGGTATAAAGAGGTCTTTTTTATATTTAGCTTATTTTAAACTTTCGACATAATGTGATTTATATGACGCTAGAGCTCCATTTTCTTTTTATTGTGTAAAAATAAATACTACTATATAAAGCTTGGAATTTTTGCCCTTAGTACCTATACTTTATTCTTAATCTTAATTAATATTTATTTATAATTACAATTTTCCTAAAACTCAACCACCCTGCATTTATTTACTTTGTTGTCAATTTTAAAGGAATGCTCGGAATAACGAGACGGGAACAACAGCGAGTCCGTCTTTTGTTAAAAGTTCTTGCCATATCCGACGTTGTTATTTATCAGACAAGGGCGGCACGTTTGCACAAGGACATGTATTCATTTTTGGCTGGGGCATCACAAGCCTACAAAAATCATTTTAGGTAAGTTTAAAAAAGTTGTTTGTGCCTCACCTTTATAAGTACACTATTAAAGTGAAACTTTTGAAGGAGATGGTGGGAATCGAGTTTCAGTTTATCTATGAGAATTGTGTTGTTATTATGTCTATGATTTATTAAATTATTTTTTGTTACTTTTGCCACCCATTCTTATGGCTTGCTCATTCCTTATACCATGAGCACATAAGCGAATATGATCTCCATCCAACGCACGCGTCCCCACACTCACTCATATCGATTTTTAGACGTCACTTGTAATCATGTAATCATGTAAGCGTTTTATATTTTTTGATAAAAAATTTCTTACTTACAACTCGCTAAAGAAGTTTTACTTCAAAAAAATTATTCTTAGACCAACTGTGTTTGTTCTAAAATTTGTTCTTTTACCAAGGTCTAATAATTATAATTATTGTAAACAGGTTGTCTTTTTATTTTTCTATACTTCTATTGTATATTCATTTTACCAATTAACTCACTAGAATAGAAATTTTGCGCGTTATAGCGCGGTTGGTAAAATGAATATACAATAGAGGTGATCTTCTAATTTTATTTTTAGCGCTACTCTCTCAAAAGTTTTGCAAACTGCTGATTGTCCAAAACAAATTAATTCCCTCGGCCCTGCGGTGATTATTTTTCACGAAACTCAACATACAGATACTCTAGATGAGTGCTCGAACGTGATGGAATCTTCTGCAGAAGAACGTTTAAGGTCGACTTTTAACGAATTAAGTTTGGAAATCGACGCGTTTAGTAGTATCAAGTATGTGGGTGTCAAATCAAAAAATCAGCCAACAAATTTCATGAAATTAAAGGAGGCCCTGGTTAAAGAGTTGGAGAGTAATGATGTTAGGTCTCCTCGTAGTGCTAAGTACATATTTTTGATGTTAAAGGTAAACAGTTTTTTTATATTATGCATTTTTTGTAAACAAATGTTTACCTGGCATTTTTAGACAAATATTTTTCCATCAAATCATTGTATTATACGTCAAATTAAGATATCTTTATGATGTTATTTATTTATTTACATACATCATCTTGGTATTTTCAAAAGTTGATAAAACGTACAATTTTTAGTTCATATTCATAATTAACTTCCAACCTTAAAATATAATCATTTATAATTTTTTTCTGATTTCATTAGAGTTTAAACGACAAATTCAGCCACAAACTGTCGGACACGTCGCATCACATGTACTGGTCGTCGTTTTTCACTTGTCAAGAAAAATGTCAGTCATGTAAGACTGGTTGCAGTCTCTCGATGGGCCACAAGGAGGAGGGGGAACCGCATTTCAGCACGCAATCGTGCAAATTTCAGCACCAGTTTCAGAATTCCGTCGATCTCTGCAGGGTAGGTTATGTTAAGAAAAACATCCAACAGATATAAAAAAGTTTTATAAAAAAATAGGTATTTAACTCAAACAAAATGTCTATAAAAACTTTAATAGGGTATTTCCATTGTAACGGGTGCCACACTAAAACTGCTTTTTTTCATGTTAATAAAGTGTTAATATAAAAAAATAGTTTGAAAAATTAGGTATTTAACTCAAACAAAATATCAATAAAAACTTGTAAAGAAAACCTTTTATAACGTCATGAATAGCGTAACGGGCGCGACCTTAGAAAATCGACAAATGCGACCAAGTGGGCTTCTAAAGTTGATACTGTAAAATTTTGGATGAAAGCATATAGTAATAACTTTTTGTGTAAAACTTGAATAGTAACCTTAAACAAGCACGTATTTTAAATGCACAAAAATTGCATAGTTTATTTTCTAAAATTTTCTTAAAATGTAACGGGTGCGACATTTGAACATTTTATCGAGTATTGAAACTCTTCCGTTTTTATTCTTAATGTTAGCTTCTTAGCATCACAATGTACGAATATTATAAGCTTATAAATTACGTCGCAATAGAGTAATTGCATCAAAAATGAAAATCCCTAAAAACCTTTTTAATGTAATCTAGAGGTAAAAACACATTGCGAAAGTATTTTTTTATATTCCAAAAGTTCAACCCGGCCCCAAAATATCAAATTGAAAAAAAGGTACTTTTCAAACGTTTCCGAACTCCCGCCATATTGCATGACGTCATAAGCCACAGCTGTCAGAAATCAAGATGTCAACAAATAATAAACACCGATAAAGTTTATGTTTAACATGGAAAACGCGAAACCAAAAATTGGTTGTAAATATTGTTTTGTGCCTTGTTGTACAAATACAACCTGGAAAACTCCTGGGAAAAGGTTTATCACCGTGCCAAAAGGGAAAATAAGGATGAAGTGGATTAAAATAGCTCGGCGCGATATCAAAACATCGTCACCGCAGTCAATATTTTATTGCTCATTTTAAGGATCATTTTAATGTAAGTAAAATAAAATGTCGTTTACTAGGTACCTATATGGTTTGAATAGGTATATTAAATATTAATAAACTCGAGAAAATACGGCTGAGCCGTAACTACTCTCAGTGTAGGGTCATAAACTTTGCTTTTGATAATTGAAGGGACAACTTTCCCAGGAGTTTTCCAGGTTGTATTTGTACAACAAGGCACAAAACAATATTTACAACCAATTTTTGGTTTCGCGTTTTCCATGTTAAACATAAACTTTATCGGTGTTTATTATTTGTTGACATCTTGATTTCTGACAGCTGTGGCTTATGACGTCATGCAATATGGCGGGAGTTCGGAAACGTTTGAAAAGTACCTTTTTTCAATTTGATATTTTGGGGCCGGGTTGAACTTTTGGAATATAAAAAAATACTTTCGCAATGTGTTTTTACCTCTAGATTACAATAAAAAGGTTTTTAGGGATTTTCATTTTTGATGCAAATACTCTATTAAACTATTTGACTTCAGATGTAGTTGTTATTTTGTTAAATAACTCATCTGATTTTTAGTCATGGTGGGGTAAGGTTTCGTGGAAATACCCTATAGAAAACCTTTTATAATGCGACCTTACAAAATCGGCAAATGCGACCAAGTTGGCTTCTAAAGTTGAGACTGTAAAATTTTGGATGGAAGCATATAGTACTATTTTTTTGTGTAAAACTTGAATAGAAACCGTAAACAAGCACGTATTTTGAATGCACAAAAATTGCATACTTTATTTTCAAAAATTTTCTTAAAATGTAACGGGTGCGACATTTGAATATTTTATCGAGTATTGAAACTGTCCGGGTTTATTCTTAATGTTAGCTTCTTAGCATCACAATGTACGAATATTATAAGGTTATAAATTACGTCGCAATTAAACTATTTGACTTCAGGTGTAGTTGTTATTTTGTTAAATAACTCATCTGAGTTTTTGTCAAGGTGGGGTAAGTTTTAGTGGAAATACCCTATAGAAAACCTTTTATAACGTCATGAATAGCGTAACGGGTGCGACCTTAGAAAATCGGCAAATGCAACCAAGTTGGACTGTAAAATTTTGGATGAAAGCATATAGTAATAATTTTTTGTGTATAACTTGAATAGTAACCTTAAACAAGCACGTATTTTAAATGCACAAAAATTGCAGACTTTATTTTCTAAAATTTTCTCAAAATGTAACGGGTGCGACATTTGAACATTTTATCGAGTATTTAAACTCTTCCGTATTTATTCTTAATGTTAACTTCTTAGCATCACAATGTAAGAATATTTTAAGGTTATAAATTACGTCGCAATTAAACTATTTGACTTCAGATATAGTTGTTATTTTGTTAAATAACACATCTGATTTTTTGTCAAGGTAGGGTAAGGTTTCGTGGAAATACCCTATAATAGAATACAATGAAATTATTTATTTTCTTCTAACATAAAATATCAAAAATACAGCATGAAATTAAACTTTAAACAATTACTATATTGGATTTTCTTTTAGAAATGTTTTAAAAGTGGTCAGAAAATGATCGTGAAAAAAAGTTATCAATCGGCAAATGAGAGTTCCTGGTCTTTGTACATTAATTATGTATGGTCAGGATATATTATGGAATGTCCCACATGTGGTGAGATTTACAGAAGTCGGCAACATTGGTATGGTAATAAAAATCCCGAGGATATCGGAGTGGTTGTACAGGAAAATGTGCACATATGGTCAGGGGTATGATTATATTTTTTGCCTTTTTAGGTTCATGCGAATAAGGTTTTGGTTTATGTTGCTATTATTTAATTAAGGGTTACCCTAAATGGAATGTATTTGTTATGTTTGTTATGTATTGTTTATTTATACATTTAAGTTTATATACCTATTTTTTAGGTAAACCATAAAAGTTTTAAAATAATTTTGTCAAAAATAGTACCATTTGAAGAATTTTATTTTGTAGATTTTATGGTCCACCCAAAAGGTAATAATGCTTTAAATTTTTTGTTTAAACATAAGCAAAATCGACACAGTCGTATCCCGTTTAAAAAAAATCCGTTCATTTATTTACATTTAAAAATATGCATAGTTTTGTCTTAAAAATTACCAAGTATTCTACTAGTTTGGGGCTCAATCGGGAATGCTTTTATGGATAGTTATCGGTATCGATAACTATCCCATCCAAATTGCTTGCAGATGAATCGCTTTTTCAAAAAGCAAATAACCTGCAATTAATTTATAACCCCGATCTTGAGGGCTTTTCAACATAATTTTGGATTTTAAGAAATTTTTATGGTGGTAAGTTACCTGGTTAGTGGTAACAAATGCAGTGATGAAATGTACTTTTTACTTCTGGAACCCATCATTTCTTATTTAGGGTAACCCACTTAAATGCTTGATATAATTTGTTATAGTGGTTATTTATTCACATGTGCCTTTGTAATTTGCTTGTAGTTGTTTTTTCTATGTGTAAAATTAGGACAAAATCTATTTTCAGGAAAAAACCCTTTTTGGTTCGCAAAATACCGCTCAAAAAGTTATCGATAGTGTTACCTCCTTATCTGATGTTGTGGCCAGTGTTGGATCACAACCTACGCAAGTTTTGGGGGAATGGGTAACAGATAAAATAAACCCTTCTTATTGGACCCCCAATCATGAAATCAAGGTAAAGAAATGCTATTAATAACGTTAATTTAGGAGATTTAGAAATTCCTGCGCATTCGCCATCTGGCAATAAGTTAATTAAAAGTATTTATTTTTTAACTTTACATTATAAATTTTTTTTAATTTACATAATATTGCTAATTTTACTTAAAAATAGTTGGGGTAAAAACTTGATCAATATGTTTGCAGTTTTACTAAATATACAATTTTTGTGACATTTAAACAATAATTTTGAGCAGGGTTCGCCTGATTTAATCCAACGATTTGTGATTTTTTTATTTGAATCAATGATTTAACCCTAAAAATACGACGCGTGGACCCCAGGTTTAGTTTTTTCTAATAATTAGCAAAATAATGTTGGGTAAATTCCCAGCGTCTTGCTAGCTGACTTTACATTTAACCGATAAACTAAACAAATTAAAACTATTTTTATTGCATATTTGCTCTATGTATAATTTGTTTCCCGCGTCGTCCTTTGTGTTACAGATTTATTAATTAAAAAAATTGTTTTATATATAAATAAACAGTAAAATAAAGAGTCAAAATGTCAAAACCAACTAAAAAAGCGCGTAGTCAAAAAGAATTGGAAGATTTGGTCTTCTAACCATTGTAAAGAGGAAACTGAACAATTTAAGGATGAACCACAAAATAAAGAAAATGAAATGCCAAAAAAAACAAATAAGAGCCTAATATAAACCTAATATAATAATGGATTATAATGCTACAAAGGAGCTGTTGATAACGCTGACAAAATGATACGTGAATATACATGCTCTCGACGAACAGTTCGAGGCTTTTTCGGTTATTCATGAATCTTATCGATATTGCCGCGTAGAATATCTACTTCATATATAAAACCCTGACTTTAAAAAAAAAATAGATCTTCTATCATTAGGAGAACAGTTAGCCAAACCAAATATGGAACGGTGAATCCCGGATCTAACACACCACCCGGGTGCACCCGAGCAATAGTCGCGTGTGGTATAAGCAATACAAAACCAGCTAAAGGACAAACTCCTTCTGTGAACATTTAAAAAACGTAGAAGGTGTCATTTATGTTCAAGAGCAAATGACAAAAAAGTGAACATAGTGTGCACTGGCGTAGCGACAAATTTTGGGCCCCCCGCGAAAATATTTACTTGGGCCCCTGATTTCACATATTTTTTACATGTTTTTATATTAGGTGACATAATATTTTTATTTATTATATAAATTCGAATAAATTATTTATAAACAATTTATAAATAAAAAGTAACAAAACTTTTCAACAAAAAGCGAAAGAATTGTTTAAAAAAATAAGGTTGTCCACTGTACCTACCTATAATACATAAAATAATAGAAAAATAATAACATATTTTTATAACATACAAATATAACCTAAACTATAATAAAAAAATCAGAGAAATAAATATATATAGCCATACATATTTATGCATGCATAATATATTTTGAATCTTTTTATAAAAAACAAAATGTCTTAGTAAGCGGTCGTCTATTTATTTGATTCTGCCATGCTGTGATGTGACGGAAATGGGGCGACATGTTTTAGCGCATTTATTTAATGTTACAAGCAATCTTACAGTGTTGCCATAATTTTTTAAGCTCTAAGCTAAGATAATACGATGGAAATAAGTATTTAATCTTTTGGGGCAAGTATCGGACGGGCCCCCCGCGGTGACGGACGCTCGCGGTACTATCGCTACGCCACTGATAGTGTGACACGTGCAAAAACTTTGTATGTGAAAGCCACAGGCACACTTATACTTGCGTGTTCAGTGCACTCATTTGCAAGAAGTTGAATAAAAATTTTAGTCTATGAGAACAAACATTTATTATTTACAAAATTTTGTGTTTTATATTATATTTAATATTTTATGATTTTGGAATATCATGATCATTGTTTTTGCTATATAAATACATATTTTTGTATTTTTATTAGTTAAAAAAAGTATATAATAGGTATAAATTATAAAACCTAGGGGTCTTTAAAAGACCCACGTCATATAATATAATATAATATATTATAATAGCGTCGTATTTTAAGGGTTAAATCAGTTTTTAAAAAAATATCTAAAATTAAAAAAAAAACACTTAAAAGATCTAAAACTAAAGCACAATAATACCTTGACAATATTTAAATAAATTCATATGCATAGAAAAACTGCTTATTTTGTTAAATAAAATAATAAAGGATTATACATAAAAATTTGACAGTTGCGGACGGTGGTTTATTTGTTTTTAATTCCACCTTTAAAACGTCCATTATCGTACATGTTAACATGACACTAAGTGACCTTTTAAATACACATTGACAAGTTGTGGCTTTATGGCCTTTTAGTCACGGGCTGAAGTCAGCAACAGGTTTTTAGTCACGGGCTGAAGTTAGCTTTAAATTAGTTGACAGTTGTCAAATGTCCTACAATCGTTAAAATAAAGTGCCCTTCTTGATCAAATAATACTAAATGTGAACATTATTTTATTATCTCAATACAAAAATACAAAAGTATTAAATAGTTTTTCAACGCCAATATTTGAAAAGTTTATATGAACATTGTACTGACCTTTTAATTTCGCCGGCAATAAACTAGGTAGATATAACTTAAAGTCGGGCACGGACTCCACCGTGAAGTGCTAATAAAACATTTTCTTCACTTTGTGAAAAACTGTTGTTTAATCCATTTTCAAGGGATATATTTTGATTTATTATCTATGTTTATAAGACATACCAATTTTACATTTGACGGTAACACAGATTCCCCTATTATTTTATAGATGGCGCTATATTTAAGTACTTAATTTAAATCATATCGTAGAAAAAGAATAGTATGCAACTCGTTTATAAACTTACTAGACACTCATTAATTTAATCACTCGCTCGCCAGCTCGCTCGTGCCTAAATTAAATTCGTGTCTAAAATGGCGTTTATCAAACTTAATACATAATATACCATTATAAAGTAGTGTCAATATAATATTATAGTCAAGTTATTTTTAGTTTTTTTAATAGTACCTTTTATTAAAAAAAGCTTATAACTTTGAATATTCATATATTATAATATTTAATATAGTCATGAAAAGTGTTTTCTTCCCTGAATTTTTTTTTTAAAAACGTTATAAAGGTGTGTTTAGACTTGAAAGTTTTATTATGGAAGCCCAAACAATCGTTATAAAAATAGTTAGTTAAGGCAGTAAAGTCATATTTTTTATCACGAATGTGGAAATTATTTGCCGAGGCGAAAGCCGAGGCAAATAACCACGTGAGTGATAAAAAATGGCTTTAATGCCGAGGTGCATATTAAATTTTATCCGAAATCACATTTAATAATACTAATAATTAATATTGATGATTAAATCAAATGTCATTTGATGATCAAATCAAATGTCATTTGAATGTAGGAAGTGTCTATGTATACCTACTGTTTGTTGCGGCGGTTATTATACAAGGTGTCCCTAAACTTAGTGGCATAAATTTAGGAGCAGATTAAGCAAGTCAAAATAAGACGAAAATCTAAATAAATATTTTTCCTAATTAGGTATGTTTAAAAGATACAGGGTGATAAAGTGTTACTTATCATATCAGTTTTTTTAATATAACTTCCAATATGGTAGACTTGGAAAGGTGATATTTTACGAACAGTCACTTACTACCAAAACACATATTCACACATAATTACAATTATTCGAGTGAACGCAGTGTCATAGAAACAGGGGTTGCTTAAGCTTATTGTCCCATACAAACTTTGAGGTTAGGTTTTTATACCATTTGATGCAATTTTTCGATTACTCAGTTTGGTTACTAAAGGTGTACCTCTCAAACTTCGATAAAATAAACCGTTTCCGAGATATCCGAGATTACAATAATTGTTACATGGGATTAAAGGACTAAAAGGTATATGATAACAAATTTTTTAATTGAAAAAAGTACATTTTTTTTTAATGTGACGGTCAGGGCAAAAAGTCTCGAGGCTCATGGAATGCCGTTTTTAGTTTTTTCAATTAAAAAATAAAATTTGTTATCATATACCTTTTAATCCTTTTAAATAATGCGATATTACAATTATTGTAATCTTGAATATCTCGGAAACGGTTTATTTTATCGAAGTTTGAGAGGTACACCTTTTTAATGGTAGACGAACTGTGTAATCGAAAAATTGTATCAAATGTTATAAAAACCTAACCTCAAAGTTTGTATGGGAAGATAAGCTTAAAGCAACCCCCGTTTCTACGACACTCAAACAATTGTAATCAGCGCCGTAGCTACAATGGTTCCGTGGGTTCGGTGGAACCAGGCCCGCGAGCTCAAGGGGCCCGCGACCAGCGATTGGAATATAAAAATTTTTTTTTCAAACATTTGGATTATTTTTTTTTTAAATATATTTCAACATTTACAGGGCATTTATTTATAATAATGGCTGAAGGCTTAGTAAATAGTAAAAGACCAATAATAATAATAATAATAATAATAATAATAATAATTTTTGCTTGAATCATGTAAAAGCGAGTCAAAATTAAAACTTAAAAAACTATCAACAACCGGTTGTTGCGTGAAGACCAACGTTGGTCTTCACGCAATGATGCAATAAAGCCCTACGTTAAGGCCTTGTCAAAAATTATTTTAACATCTAATAATAAGGCTGAAATAGACGACTCGAGAGGATTTAAAAGTACATTGGAGGACTTTGAAACATTGTTTTTGATTATTTTACAATCTAACATTTCAAATCGCATAGACACAGTATCAAAACTCTTACAAAATCAGCAGCAAGATATCCAAAAATCTAGTAAACTTTTAAAAAATGTGTTAAATGACATAAGCAAACTTCGGAATGAATTTTTAGATATAAAAAAGAGGCCGACATTACATCAAGTAAATTTTGTATAATTCCAGAATTTTGCCAAAAACGTATTCGCAAACGTTTTTTTGATGAAGTTGCAAATGACTTTGTTTTTTAAACTGCTAAAGATACTTTTAGAGTTGAAGTTTTTTTTTAAGACCCTAGAA